CCCGCGGCGCACACCAATGCAGCAGTTGCGATGGCCTCTCCTTGGCCACAGACGGTACGCAGCGCACCTCGTCCACTGGAACCGACGGCTACCTACCTGCCACGAGCCCATGGTGTAGCTCGCTACGTGGATCAAAGGCCCCGGAAAAGTGACATCTGGCGTGACCATGAGCGCAGGCCTTTGTGTTTCTATTGTGGGGAAGCAGGTCACCTGTATAGGTTCTGCCCTTACCGACAGGCAGGATTAAGGGGCTTTCCGTTGTATGCACCATGCCCTCGAAACGGTGAACGGCCAACGGAGATCAAAGAGTACTTGTCCGCGTGCCAGAGCCCACTCACTCCACGCCAACATCTACCAAGATCGCCGTCGCCCAGGCGTTAACGATCACCCAGCCCACGTGCTTCTTCCGCACGGTCTCGGCACCGTTCTACAAGCCTACACCTGAAAAACTGAAGCAAGCGGCCTGTGGAGGTGAGGCCGCTGATAACTACAGTTGCGAAGATCCTCCATTACGGTTTCAAGGTGACGATGCTATGTTCACAGAGAATAAGCGCAGCAGTGCGAACATTACTTCAGATTTGCGGTTGAAAATAGCCGGATACGAGCTAAATGATTTAGTTGACACCGGCGCTGATTATTCGGTAATGAGTCACAAATTGGCAAAGAAACTGAAAAAGGTTGGGACAAAATGGAGTGGGGCACAGATACGCACGGCAGGTGGCCACACTATTACACCGCTTGGCAGATGCACCTCAAGGCTCGAAATAAGAGGTTTTACTTACGTTGCTGACTTCATCGTACTGCCGGACTGTTCAAGGGAGCTTATACTAGGAATGGATTTTCTGCAAGCCAATGGAGCCATAATTAATCTGCGCAGATCGAGTGTAACGTTTTCGACCGAACAAGCTATGTCGGTGGAGGAATCGGAAAAGTGACGTCTTACTGCTCTGCGCGTTGTTGATGATGACGTCACAGTACCACCACGCTGTAGTGTAATGATGCTTGTTGAAAATAAGGCATTTTGTGACCTCGAAGGAATAGCGGATGGAAACGTAGAGCTCTTTTTTAACAAAGGAATTTGCGTGGTGAGGGGCGTTGTTCACATAAGAAATGGCCGCTCAGTTGTCCTCTTTACGACTTTTGGGAATGAATGTCAGCACATCGCGCAAGGTATGGCTATCGCCTATTTCCACGAGTTCTGCATGGCGACTGAACTATGCAGTTTAGCGAAAACGCCAACCACTCCACAAGAGACCTGCAACGTCGACACATCGGTTAACGTCAACCATAGACTCCCAGAATATCAAAAGAAACGATTGTTCGCCCTTATAAAAGTGTTTTCAGACTGCTTTTCAACGTCCTCTAAGGTGCGACGCACGGCTATTGCAAAACACAGGAATATAACAGAAGCCCCGAGACCGATTTACCAACACCCATATCGAGTATCGCAAAAGGAAAGAGACATCATCAAAGAACAAGCGGAAGAGATGCTTTCAGATGACGTGATCCAGCCTTCCAGCAGTCCATTGGCGTCTCCCGTAGTGCTTGTTAAAAAGAAAGATAACAGCCTTCGATTCTGCGTCGACTATCGGAAACTGAACAGCGTAACGAAACGGGATGTATACACTCTGCCGCGTATCGATGATACACTCGATCGACTACGGAGTACGAAATACTTCTCCTCCCTTGATCTCAACAGCGGATATTGGCAAATTGAGGTGGATGAGCGCGACCATAAAAAGACGGCATTCATAACGCCAGATGGCCTCTACGAAGTTAAAGCGCTTCCATTCGGCCTGTGCACAGCGCCAGCTACGTTTCAGAGAATGATGGGCGCTGTCCTCGCGGGACTGAAATGGCAGTCCTGCTTGGTGTACTTGGATGACGTGGTCGTATTTTCCGCTACATTCGACTGACATCTAGAGCGTCTCCGTACAGTATTATAAGCCATTCGTTCAGCAGACTTGACCATCAAGCCAGAAAAATGCCACTTCGCTTTTGAAGAGCTTCGATTCCTCAGACACGTCGTCAGCTCCGACGGCGTTGGCCAGATCCCGAAAAGACAGCTGCCATCGTGAAGTTCCCGACACCCAAAGACAAGAAGTCAGTGCGTCGCTTCCTGGGTTTATGCGCGTACTATCGCCGATTTGTGGAAAATTTTTCGAACATTGCTGAACCACTTACTAATGTAACAAAAGACGAGGTGCCCTTTATGTGGTAAAGTGAACAACAGGAAGCATTTGATGAGTTAAGAACACGCCTTCAAGCCTCTCCGATCCTCGCCCACTTCGATGAGACTGTCGAAACTGAAGTTCACACTGATGCGAGTAGCGTTGGCCTCGGAGCCATTCTAGTCTAGCGGCAAAACGGCCAAGAAAAAGTGCTAGCGTATGCCAGCCGCAAGCTTTCGAAAGCTGAGACAAATTACTCTGCAACCGAAAAAGAGTGTCTCGCGGTCATCTGGGCCATAAGTAAATTTCGGCCGTACCTCTACGGTAGACCATTCCGAGCATTCAGTGACTACGATTGCCTTTGTTGGCTGGCGAATCTTAAGGATCCCTCTGGCCGACTAGCAAGATGGAGCCTTAGGCTACAAGAGTACAATATTACTGTGGTATACAAATCTGGGAAAAATCACAGCGATGCCGGCTGCCTGTCACGCGCACCAGTGGAGACCAGTGAGCCGGAGGAAGAAGACTTCTCGTTTCTAGGCATCGTCCAAGCATCAGAAATCGCTCAACAACAACAAAATGATCCCGATTTGCTGCCGCTTATACAGCGTCTCCAAGGATTCAACGTTGAAGTCCCGCGCATTTTATCCAGAGGGCCCCCTTCGTTCTGTCTTCGAGAAGGGGTCCTTTACAAGAGGAACTTCAAGCCTCATGGTGACAAGTTTTTACTCGTTGTACCTGCACCTTTACGAAACGAGATTCTGCACGCATGTCATGATGAGCCAACATCTCGACACATGGGTGTCAGCCGTACATTCGCCAGAATTCACCTAAAATACTACTGGCCAAAACTGTTATCATCAGTTCAGCGCTATGTGAAAACTTGCCGTGAGTGTCAAAGACGCAAAACTCCATCCGTAAAACCTGCAGGCCTCCTCCAGCCGATAGAACCACTGCATGCCTTATTCCAACAAGTCGGTATGGATCTCCTAGGCCTGTTTCCGACATCGACTGCATGCAAGAAGTGGATAGTCGTAGCCACGGACTATCTCACCCGTTACGCTGAGACTGACTCGCTGTACACTGCAACAGCTCTTGAAGTTGCCAAGTTCTTCATAAACAACATAGTCCTCAGACATGTTGCACCCAGCGTCGTAATTACAGATCGTGGCCCAGCTTTTACTGCAGACCTAATGAAATGTCTGATGCGAATGACCCATACAGACCAGAGAAGAACTACAGCATACCATCCTCAAACAAATGGCCTAACGGAGCGCCTCAAGAGAACTCTGACTGATATGTTTTCAATGTATGTCGACGTCCAACATAAACTGTGGGATGAAGTATTGCCCTACATCAAGTTCGCAAATAATACAGCCGTTCAAGAAACAACGCGAGTGACACCATTTGAACTTGTATTCGGCCGAACAGTCACCACTCAACTGGATGCCATGTTAACACTGAATGATGAAAGCAGCAATCCACCTGGCCTAGACGACTTCCTACAAAGAGCCGAGGAAGCACGACAGATGGCGAAATACAGAATACGCCACCAACAGCGTATCGACTCCTATCGATACAATCAGCGTCGTACCGAAGCGCATTTTCAACCAGGTGACAAAGTATGAATATGGAACCCAGTGCGTCGCCGTGTACTTTCTAAAAAACTTTTTATCCGCTACTTCGGGCTTTACGAAGTACTCCATCGTGTAAGCGATGTAACTTACCAAGTCAGATCCGCTATACACGGGAGCTCAAAACGCCGCAACCCTACAGAGGTTGTACATGTAGTCCGGATGAAGCCTTACTATGAAAGATCACCGGAAGACCAGTGACGCCTACCACGAATCTATTCATTACCTGACGCATCGGGACAATGCGTATGACGAGGGGGATTATGCCGCGACATAGTGCCTGCATTCAAACAACGCGCCCATCACCGCGCGCACAGGGACATACATGCGCGCCGTCTAGTGTTGCGCAGAGACGATGATGATAGCACGAGAACCCAGCTGGCCCCTGCTGAATTGTGCCACGTGCTTCGGACTCTTCCTGAAGAAGTAGAAGAAGGAGACATCTTTGGTGTTCTGCTGTAACGGGCTACGACCATAGTCCCTTTGAGTTGTGGGCACAGGTTCCCGCTTTAATAAATACGTTTTATTACACTCCGAGTCCTTCAACATCGTTATAATATATATATATATATATATATATATATATATATATATATATATATATATCTGTTTGCGTGTGTGTGTGTGTGTCGCTTCTCTTCCCAAGTACGTTTAGCTCATTGGAAATTTTTTCAGTGTACTGGGTGTTTTAAAAAATGTGTCCAATATTCTTTAAAAATTACTAAAAGCAGGTATCTGCATGCCATTTGTGGCGTTGCCTTCCTGTAGCAGAAGGCATCTTCAGATGAGTACAAACAATCTTTACGGTGTAAATAGTAGACATTCGCATAATTAACATTTTGACCATTGGTAATAGCCAGTCGAGTCAAACAAGTGAACTAAAAATCTTTCTTCGTATGATCCATAGCCACTTCGAAATTTTGTTCAAGTGGCCACGGCTAATCACCGCTGAGCGATGCTAACTAACCAATTTAGCTTGCGAAACCAAAACCGACGCACCGAAAGGTGTCATTACAAGTTTTAGGGAAATTCATTTGGAAAAGTGAATGTTTAGTGATTGTAAAAAGTATGCCACCTTAGTAAAGATTCCCGTGAAGCATGAATAGAGGACGATTTCTTTCGTTTGTGGGATGCATTCACAGCTTTGCGCGCGCCAACATGTTAATTGAAACATTCACAATTTTGATAATTTCAGTGCAGAAACACCAAGAGATTGTCTATCCCATGGTCTTTGATGGGCGCGATGAAGGCACAAGAGTCCTCAAACTAAACGACAAGATAATTTTGAACCTAAAGCCAAGCTCAATTCTTCATGAGGACTTTGTTCTTCGAACTTATCGTCATGGCGTACCGGAGCATGTATACGTAAGTCACAAATATATATTTTAAACAATAGGTGTGTCCGATATTTCATGCGGACAGCCTCGTTGGCTCAATGGACATAAATGATCACGAAGGCCTTCGATTAGCTGGAATGACCAGGTCGCCCATGTTGAGGGAAGAGTGCACTTGCTGGCAATAAACTTTCATTCTACCTCTCTTGTAGTCTTTTTGTGTTACAGCGTTTTCAATAACACTGAGGCTATGTAAAGGGGTATCATCCCGAACAGGGCAAACAGTTTGTTGATTCTGGTTGAATATCGCGATCGGCTCTTTCATTGTGATTTCTTCGCCAGCAGTGATAAGCAATTCCCAACTTCCTATCGCTTTTGTAACCACTTAGAATCGCCACCCTTGCGCTTTATGGCATGCAGCAAAAGCAAAATTTAAAATCGAGTTGTATCTTCAGACAGTCCAACTGAACCTCAACACCAAATGGCACACGTCAAGGTAGCTCAATCAGCGTGTAGAAGTGAGATACATCTTGCTAGATTCTAGACTAGAATATATACTGTTCTTATGCATATGTATAAGACATTTTGATTCCTTCGCCATCGTGAAGTCCCTGCTGAACGACCGGCATGCTGCAGAACTAAATCTATAGCACCCAGCGCTCTCGGTTGATATCCTCATTGAATCTCAGTGATGATTTCCCCGAACTGCAAACAAGTTTTGTGATTCACAAAATATCGGTATACGCAAAATATCGATCGACAGACGGCGTACTGCTTTCCGGTTTAATCAACTAGCTTTGAGCCATTTAGGCACACTGTCTTTAAACTTTAGCTCTGTTAAAGTGCTTCCGCCTCAATCTAAACATTTCATGTGAAGACAGCGGTTGCCTGTCTGAGTATCATATTTTGCGCGGTTATCTCTGACAATATCAATTTATGCACACACACACACACACACACACACACACACACACACACACACACACACACACACACACACACACACACACACACACACACACACACACACACACACATACACACACACACACACACACACACACACACACACACACACACACACACACACACACACATATATATATATATGTGTGTATATATATATATATATATATATATATATGGAAGCAAGGGTATACTTAAGGGCTCGTTTTACGTGTTTTCCACAGTATTAATGAGTTCTAACAGACAATAATGCCAAGAAAGGTATGGGAGAAGTTATATATATATATATATATATATATATATATATTTTAACATGCATATACCTATGTTTTTAGAACAAATGCAGCGTTAAGCAGTACACAAACAAGGATGCTTTTCGGGATCCTATATTTGAAAAAGTAAGACGGCAGAGCCACCCAGCCTTATGTTTGGATATATCAGGTACTACGTAACTTGCCCTCATTTAATTTAAACTCAATCATGAGACTGCACTTCATGTCTATTATTCTTAGGCACAGATGTGTTTGCACGTGATTGCACAATAACTAAAATAAAACGTTTTTCGAGGCATCGCCAATGTGGCGCACAAGTGTCAAATTATGAAGGTAGCGAAAACACGTCCTCACAGTGCAGCGCAACTTAAAACCGCACGCTAACGCTCATGCTACACGTAGCAAGCTCTGGGTGAGCATTCATTTGACTTTGTATTTGTATCGCACCGAGAAAACATAAGTTTATGGGTGAAAAACTCTGTTCTTAGAAAAACAACCCCCCGAGAAATATCACGTAAAGTCATGTACTGTTGACGTGACAATGCTCAGAAGCTCGTTTCATAGAATTTCTAGTGTCAGCGTAGCTGCAAGAAAGATAAATTCAATAATGGAAACCTGTGGCTTGCATTACGATCAAAGCCAGGCCTTGTCCGTGGGAACAAGGCGGGCTATGCGACTGGTTAAAGCAACTTGGAAAAACTAACACATATGAATGTTATTTCATGGGAGGAGTCTCCTTAACCCATATCATATTGTGTAACACGTTCTGTTGTTGAAGGCGAAACTCAAGTGTCTTCTTCGATATGGAAAGCGCTAGGAGTGGCAACTTTTCGTGAAAGAAAATGGAAATTGTAAGAAGCTAGCAACAATAATTTATTCTTCTTTCGTAGTATCTGACCGGCCGTCGTATACTAAGTAAAACATGTAGCAGGGTGTGATACCTGACATGAACTTTTGTTGTAGGTGTTCAGCGTCGACTTGTTGTGGCCTATGAGATCACCCCATTGTTAAGCCAGATAATGAACAATTGTTACTTGTTTGAGAACATATGAAGTCAGAATAGGGCTTCGTGAAGCTGTTCGATGACGTTCTCATCCGTTTATTGTTCTGTAGAATTATTTTGAAACTGTGTCGTTTAGCAACGAGATGAATCAAAACTTGGCTCCGTATAGGTTTCGCACTAGCATGCATTTTGAGGAAGCACGCATGTATGAATATGTAATGCAACCTTATACCTTATACATAAATATAAAATTTTTCAAACGCGGCGTATGCTGCTTCTCTAGGTTATCATGTATTCGGATTCGACCTATAGTCTGAAAACTGCGTGCAGTCAAAAAAAAGTGTAGCCTTAGGATGTTTAATTTATTTAGGGCACAATTACCAGCCTTTCAAAGACATTCATTCCGTCCAAAATACTTCCATTACACGCACCAACTATTACATTTATTAGAGATATCTGGATATCATATGCAGCTTAAAAATTATTTCTCACTATCATTCTAAACGAACTCAAAAAATAGAAAAAAAGACAACATAGAATGCAAAGAATATACAAGATAAACTACAGCGTAACCACTTTATTAACCGCTCAGAATCGCTACACTTGCGCTTTATGCCATGCAGTGAAAACAAAACCTGAAAAAAATCAGCGCTATAGTTTTTTTTTCTATTCTCGTCACCCCTTTTTTAACGCTAACATTTGTGTAAGATGAAATCACACCAACTCACCCGATTGTCCATTTCCATGCAAGAACTCACTACAATGCGTTAAGTCTTCTTCAACGTAATTGCGACTCTTTTACTGTGGTGTGATAAAAAACAAGATGTTATTCTGTTACCTGCTCCCTTTGAATACAAGTCTGCGTAGATGTCTGTCTTATATTTCTTTTAACACATACTGATATCTGTTGTTTCAGTATGATGTCAAAGCTTTGGAAGAAGGTTTGTACCACGACGACAAACACCTCGCGTCAGTTATGCTTTCTGAAGATGAAATGTCCTTGAAAGTGGTAAGTTTTAATTGCAGAATGGCCATTAGCACAAATGGAAGGTCATTTACACACACAAGCTCACAGTAGTGGAACACTAATGTAAAGGTGATAGTGTAGCAGTATTACCCAAAAAATGCGCGTTTGATAATGGTTTAGGTGAAAGCATTTGATTGGAGGTTAAATGCTAGAGCGTTGCATACCGGATAATATGATTTAATAAATAGATCTTCACATAAACGCCAATAATAAATGTCGTGCACTAATACATTTTTTATAGCCTCAGTCGCTTTGAGACGGCAAACCCCATGACCAAGGTATACAAGTTCAAAGACGACGCTATCACAGAACTGCCAACTTTACAACGTTTTGCTTCTAAGAAAGCTCGGAAATCCTTGCACATTGTAGTAAACAAGCTATAGGAATATTCCTTTGCATATGCTTCCGGAGAGTATGGGTGCAGACAAGTTGGCGATTCGCGATTAGAAAAAGTGCCCGCAGAAGACAGAGAACACAAGATTTATGACCAGTGCCAGATATGCACTGCATCTTCATATACACCGACCACTGTAACCAATGCTGCCATCCAAAAAATGCGGAAGAAAAAATAGTGATATTTGTTAGTTTGATTACATTTTTGATGAATATGGGTAGTGTGAAGCCCAAAAGTGTCTAGGTATAACTGAGAGCGGACTGAGCAAGTAAAAAATTGATGAACACGAGCGCCCGTGTTCGTCCATTTCCCGCTTGCTAAGTCATACTTTGCCTGTAATCCCGCAGTTTTCTGCATCGCGCCGCTCATCCTTATTGATAAAAGGCTGCTTTCTTCAAAGGGTAATGATAAGACCTGAGAAGTTGGAGCTCTCTTGTTTTGTCATAATTTTCACCAATTTGGGCATCTTTTCTCTTCATCACCCAAACATATCGAGTGATTAGGCACGCATCATCAGCATTTACCTCAAATGGCACTTCTTATACGTCATGCTTCATTATTTTTAAAGCACATTTACAACTTGAAACACCTTTTCTTGTCTTCTGTGATCTCAGTGGACATGAGCCGATTTTTCTGCGACTTTTTATCCTCACTATCTCGGTGAAATTGACTAAAGCGGATGTTTTAACCACTTTGCATGTGCATATATTCTACTAGAATGGTGTGGTTGGACCGAATCTTAGGATTAGGCCATTGGAAGGAATGGAACGAACAAGTGAAGGTCATTATGCGCATCTTTTGGAACCCATTGAAACAGAACAGTATAATGTGCAAACTGTGCTTGGTAAGCAAACTTTTTCGCTGGCATGCTAATTCTGTTTTAAACTTTAACAAGCCTTGTCCTCAGTGCTGTCGATGCCTATACCTATACTTCATGGCAACTTGTGGTGTTATACGTTGTTTTATATGCTGCCAAGAAAAAAACCAGGTGTTGAGCTGATACAAAATGTCTCAATGAGTTTTATACGTATAAGATCCAAAAGCATACACAAACACAACATTACTAGTTATGATGTGTTTTGGTAGGACATCCTAAGTGACTATACCTCAATGAACAAGTGCATGCATAAGACGATCGAGTGAGATGAGCTAGGGCTGAAAACAACTCTCTCCCGCACTCTTGCTAATGCAGTTATGGAAGAACCTAAGGCGCCTAATGTCAGTACATTGCATTTTCTAGGTAATACACTATTTCAAACAGAAAAAAGAGTGCCTAGTGAGACATGTGTGAACTCTACCTCATAAGACTTGAGACTTAGGCTGGCTTTCGGAATATTTCTAATTGTGCTTATTTCTGTTCTACAGGAGAGCGTTTAGAGCCAAGCAACGTAACATCTGAGCGCGCAGGAAGTGAGTAGCGAATACATGTTCTAGTATTTCTTTCAAGTTTACAAAGCTGAAATAAACAATGCGTACTGAAAAAGACGGTCTTACCAGAAGTGAAGCTAAAATTCAGGCTAGTTTGTTTTGAACTAAATGCGTAATCTAGTTGAACAAGGACATGGCAAGATGCCCACAGGACAATTGATAGTCTAGCAGTCCTACTGGATGCCTTTTTTTTGCTATATGGGGAATTTAACATATTTACAGCAAGTAAAACGCCTAGTTATTTGGTAAAAGTAAAAAAAAATTAGTGCTTTTGTTGATGACTTGTTAGCCAAAAGCTTCGTGGCGATTCTCAGTGGAACGATCAAAACACAAGATATCACATTCTTACCTCTTTCTTTCGGTACAAGCAGCTCTGTCTCGGCAAAAAAAAAAAAAGCTGTGAACTGTATGGTGCCGTCGCACTGCCTATAATCTGCTTTTGAAACGTCTTTATTCAAATGGACCTATCAAACTTTATCGTACTACATGTTACAATTTCAATAATGATGTGGGCAGTTTTTATGAAGTACTTGAAAGCAATATTTTTGGTAACTCTTTTGTCAATCACTACCGTATGTAGCGCGGTCCTCTAGAATTGGGTGAAGTTCAGAAACTCTTTTTAGGCGTCTGACCTCGTTTTTTTGTTTACGCAACAATCCTCGGACTTTTTGGTTTTATTTCTAGAAGAGGCACTCGAGCTTTTATCTCCAAGTCGTTTCAGAATTACTGTCACCTGATGCTGAATTCACTTCATGTTTATAAACTCGTTACAGCCGTAGTATTATCATATTGTTTTAACAAAACTTTTGCATCTAATTACTCAAATTGCAAATATATATTGTTGATTATCAAGTAATTTGCGCGTTTTTGGCTGCCAGGGTCTAAGTTTAATGATCACTCTCCGTCACAGGTGAGATATTCTGGGGGCCTTTCGACACAATGTGACCCTACTACCTTAACAGGCTATCTTATAACACACTGAAAAACAGATTGTTTCAAAGTAAAACAATCAATAAAAATTAATTTTGAAATAATAATGGTAAATTATTGCTATGACAGTTGTGAGAAGTCAAGACAGTGAAGCCCAGTATTTTACAAAGGAGGAATGAACGTATATAGTGAAAATACGCGAAAAGTTGTTTTTGCTAAATTTTTCTGGCTTTCCCTGGGAATTCTTATTATTGTCTCAAAGTATCTTATTTTACACAGCTGTTAACGTGCTGCAAGGTCCTTTCATCAACACATGCGAAATGAACTCACCAAAATAACATTTCAATCATAATTTTAGCCTTCTGTTTTGTTGTCATTCACTACTAATCTTTTTAGCTCAAGTGTTTTTATAATTTTTGGCATTATTGCTAACAAAATTGTGGCAGCAATCGGGATGATCTATCGGAATTTATGTAAATATAAATAAATGGCCCTTTGGGACGAATAGACATTCTTTCCAGAAAAATAATTGTTCGAAGCACTCCTAAAGCGGAATATGTAGTGTCTGCGACTTAAGTATTATTTATCTTTGACCCCAACTTTCGCAGATGCATATAAGCAACGATTGAATTCGCGAAGTGCAGTTTGCAATGTTTCTAAAAGTGAATTTATATTCTAAGCTAAACCTTGATCCACTTGTTTAGTAACATAAAAATGGCTCTTTTGCGATATCGTCATAAAATGATGCGTAGCCCTTCTACGCCTTTCCGAAGAGTTTACCATGTCTTCTTCATAGTGAAATTTCATATTGTTTTGGAGGAAGATTTAACGAGAGCATTGGTCTCAGTTAAATATTATTCAGATCTAGATATTGTATTTCATTATCTCAATTTTTTATTCTTTTTTACCTTTACTCTTAATGGTAAAATTTATGTAACGCCTTCAAGATCTTCTATATCATCTCACCAGCTTTGAACCGAGGCCATAATAGCATCAAATGACAAGTTGGGCGATTTTCTACAAACGCACCAGCGCAAAAAGTATACATGTGTGAACGCCATCTGGCACTTTTTACTTCCAGACTGGCACACCCTATGTGCACCACTTTAGTGACCACGTGTTAAGAAAGCATTCGGAAAAGTGATCACTGAATTACTAATCTTGTTATTTTGAAACAATATTAGACGCTATGTTACCCTGTGGTTGATGTTCTTGCACTATTGCTAAACATCGGGAGGACGTAATCTCTGTTGAACACATAGGCTTACCGAGATAGGCTTCTGAGCATTGTAGTATACACTGAAGTTTTCCTTAAAGTCGTGCAGCACGAATGATAATTCAAATACCTTGTCTTTGATACCTCTATTCATCATTAGTCATTAAGAATTGTGGGAAGCTTGTGGCTTTTTATTGAAGTTTGCTTACCATGAGACACAATTCAGAGTTTTATTTTAAGAATGTTCACGTTGTTCTACGTAAGTTGTTCGAAAACCTACTTCAGTTTGTCACATTATTTTTATTTACCGTCATGATTGATAAAACTTAGCTTTTTTCGTAGATTAGTTTTATTTACATGTGGTATTTTGCAATGTCAGTGCACTCATGTCCTAACTAAGTATTGTTTATATAAATATAAAGCAGGCCCTCTCTCACTTGGTACGTTTCGCCGTTCTTTAGCAAACCTCTTCTGTGTACATTTTATTGCAAGCGCATCTACTAGAGTTCTTTATTTCATCGTGCATTACAAAAAATAACACTCCTTATTGGTTTCGACCTTTTACAGCATTTCCTGCTGTTTTCTTTTAGAGCCAAACATTGATCAAAATGAAGCAAGGGTACTCATTTGCAACGGTTTCTTCCATCTATTTGATGTCGGTTTATTGGATGCCGAATGTTTTGGCCATAATAGTTACTTATCTTATATAAAGCAAATGCACTACATCTAAATATTCACTACTCACAGGCATATACGACGTTGAAATTGTATTTCCGGAAGTTGCTGTAGTTGTCGATGCCACATTCATGGCTGGCTTCAGGACACGAAAAGAAATGATGAAATACATCATGATTGAATATAATTGTGTAAGTATAGTTTTTCGAAATTCAATTACCTTCATCATTCTCATATATGAAGGGACAAATACTGCATACGGCATGGAAGTTCATGCGAAAAATACAAGAGTGGGTATTTGGTTGGTACTGACTTTTGTACTTACCCTGCTTCAGGTAACCTTGTCTAATGTATTGTGACTTAGGTGAGCAAGTGAGCTATAGGTTTAATGAACTGCCACAAAAAATCGGCTCCCAAAAAAGATGACTGAGCAGCCTCTCGTGCAACCGCCTAACACACAGTCGTCTTCATCAACTTTCGAGAGCCCCACGCTTTCTTATGATCATGAGGAATCGTAACTTCACTCAGCCTTAGTATTATGAGAAAACGATGAGTTAGAGTTTGTGAATAAGTGTGGTGTATCGGTGAATGCCTTTCTTGAATTGTTAACCTTTTACGTTAGGTCGACATTTGTTATGTGGAACAAAGCTATGTACCGACAAAAATCCGGTATCACAATAGGCTCGAAAGTAGCCCCGGTTTTAAGCACAATTTATTCAGCAAAAATGGACAAGGCAATAGATTTAAACCCTAAAGGGCTTACACTCAAAGTGTTTCGGTTTGTAGATGACTCTTTGGTTTTTATTGAATTGGATGGTCGGGATAAAATGGTCGCAGAAGTTTTGAAAGTCTTCAAGAAAAATAGTAGAGGGCTTGAATTTACTCATGAATTATCAGTTAAAGACAAACTGCAGTTTTTGGATATTGAGTTAGATGCCACAGCAGAACATATATGCTGGTCATACAATCTGCGAACGGAAAAACCCTTACTTAGCTACCGATTGGCACATTCTAAAGTTGTAAAGAGTGGCATAGCCTTTTCATGATTGAGAGCAGCCTTAACAAAGTCATGTCCAAAAAAAATTAGCGAAAGCTTCAACCAACAAATTATCAGGCTAAAAAATGCTGGGTACGAAAAACACGTGTTGTGTAGATCAGCTAACGAGCTGATTAGTCACGTACGCAACAACTTTCATAAAAAAATGACAAGTAATGAAAACAGGAAGACGATAGTGTCAGTTCCATATGCGCACAAGATTGCCCATAACTTAAAAAACGTAGGTAATCGCTATGGCCTAGAATTAGTTTTTTCGGCACCCAAAAAGCTTAGTAAAATATCTTCCAAACTAGACCGTAAAGTTTCCATAGCAGTAAACACTAATGCTGGTAGTTGTACGGTAAATCACACAACAAAGTTTGTTACGTGTAGCCTATCAGCCGTGTATTGCTTGCCGCTAACGTGTGGAAAGGTATACATCGACCAGACGGGTCGTTGTTTGAACACCCGACTTTTAGAACACAAGCGATCATTAGGAACTGACATTCATTCTCACATAAAGAGACACTGTTCCCAGTGTGGCTGCTCACCACTGTGCAGTGACACAAGCGTAGTCTTCCGTCATGGAAACTAACTAACCAGAGAAATTGTCGAAGCCTTTCACATTAAAAAAAGAAAAGAAGGATGCATTAGTCAGTCATCGGTTTCGTTAAGTAACCGAGAAGCCAGCTACCTCGAAGGACTTAATTGAGATCAGTGTTTGCATGTGTCATACTCTCCTACTTGTCGTTTCAAAATTTTGTTTCAAACACGTGTGAATTCCCGCAAATTTTTGTGTTTTTTTTGTTTTTTGTTTTTTTTTATTTGATGTTACCCAGGGCTGTTTTAGGTATGTCAACTAAAAGTGTCTAAGCTTAACTGCCGTGTACTATCGCTTGAGTCTGCGCAAAAGCTTCTGTTGGCAATGATTCAGTGTTCGTAGTTCTTTTCTGTGTCGCTAGGGTTATGGGTTATATATGGAGTGCTGCTTCTGAAATAAAAATTAGTTGCGAGTGTAGCGAGTGTCGTGTTTTCTTGTCCTTTTCGTCCCCGTCGAATTTGCGCTACTACACCATATGGTTAAATGATGTCTCACCAACTAGCCCAGCTCTCAACCCTACTGAACTTCACTCAGCCTCCACGGCGGAAGCGGTGCCACGGTGCTTGTTATGGCAGCGACGAACTAGCAGGGCGATACGGTTTCATTCAGGAAATGGGCGCAACGTCCATGTGGTGCGACGAGGTCGAACAGACAGTGTCCAGGGGTGATCTCAAGATTCACCTCATTCAGGTGTCGTAATACTTTATAGGGGCCGTTGTAGCTGTGTAGTAGCCTCGCTTGTAAGTCGACTAGTCCAATTAGCGTCCAGAGAAGAACCAGAGACCCCGGTGGAAGTAAGTGCACGCTTTGGTGGCGACTGTCATAAAGGTGTGTTTGGTGCTCTTGTGAGAAAAAGTCTGTCATGGAAAAGCTTACGAGCGGGATAAACTTGAGAAACGACATGGCTGGCGTACTTAGTAGAGAAGGGGTAAACAAAGGAAGGAGTGTGTCAAATGACAACGCGGGATGTTGGCTAAACAGCAAATGAAATGGCGAATAACGAACAGTGTCATATTGTGAAGAGTTGTACACAAAGAGGACAAAAGGGAGTGCTTTGCCCAATCACGGTAATCTAGTGAAAGGTGCAGTCAGAGCATCTGCTCAGTGTTTGGTTCAGACGCTCAGTCAATCCATTCCTCTATGAATACGCGGTGGTGAGCTTCAGCTCAGTGTAGCAAGCACAGAGGACGTCATCCACAACACATAAAAGGAAGTACCTACCTCGATGGGTAAGCTGCTGCCGCAGGGCACCGTGGAGAAGAATGACTTCAAACAAGAGAAAGTCAGCGACGTTAGTTGAACAACTTGTTGGCAGTGCTCTAGTGATGGCAAAGCGTGGTAAATTATCTGTGGTGACTGCAAATCATTTATTTCTAAAGGTGGTCGTAGGAAACGGGTCCAACACAACAAAGCCAACACGGAAGAATGAGTTTGCAAGTACGTCGATAGGCTGTAGGAGGCCGAACGGTAGCACAGAGGGGCGCTTGCGGTGTGGGCAGCGATGGGAAGGAGTGACGAAGGGAACCACGAAACGGTACATGCCGGGCCAGAAAAAGCGACGTCAAACACGATTGTAGGCATGAGAGACACCTGGGTGACTGGCTGTGGGTACGTCGGGAAGTTTTCGAGAACGCTGTTACGTAAATTATGGGAAACTACACGTAGTAAATCTGTGCCATGAGCGTTGAAGCTGCGACGGCACAGAGTGTTGTCGTTACTCTCGAACAAGTAAATGAACCCGTGGGGTGATGCCGAGGTTAGATGATCGATGATGGAGAGTAATGAGAGGTCGCGTCATTGTTCATTAGAGATATCACCCATAGTGTGGATGGAGAGCTCGCAGGGTCTGATTCAATGTAATTCAATGTGATTAAATGTAATTCAAGTCGAGCGTTTCAACCAAATGATGTGACAAACGGTGTGTATATTTATTCAGGCGACCCTACTTGTAGTGAGCTACGTAAGAGTATTCTTGCAGACGCAGAGAGTGTGATGGTCTGTAACCACGGAAAAAGTTCGTCCATACAATAAGGCCTCAAAACAGAAATGGCCCACACCAAAACTCTATATTCCCGCTTAGTGATAGAGAACTTAAATTTGGTGGGTGAAAGAAGACGTCTTAAACAGCTGAAGTGCAAAAATGGTAACAATGAACCCTTTTTAAGAGAAAAACAAGTCAGAAAAGAAAGTATAAAACAAAAGAAAGAGAAAAAAAAGACACCTTGTGAAGGAAGACGATTGGCGTAAGCACTTGCGTTAACCTTTTCGTGCTGTCGTTTGTTAACAACCACCCCTATTCCTTAGCCACTGGCGTCGATCTTGAGCCTTGTATGTGATAAAGAGTAAAAATGTGCCAGTATTTGTGCTGACAAAGCATCCGCTTGCTCGGCGCCCCACGCTGCGAAACGTAAGCGGTCAGGTGATGTCCTCGAAGTTGAGGACATGTCAACAAAAATAAACCTACAGAACTCCGGTTGCTGACAAGGCAGCCTATTATGGTAATTTGACGCTGTTTGAAATGACATTTGCCGAATTGAGCTGGAGAGGGGCTTTTTGAAAAATGTCCAGTACGGCGGACAGATGTTTGAGAAGGCTGTCAAAGGTAGGTGAATGGATGATAATGACACTAAGGTGTCGACACTAAGGTGTCGACACTAAGGATGACGACACTAAGGAAATAAACCACTTATATAACCGCAGAAAGGAGTTCATCATGCGCTTAAAAATTGCTTGAGCATTACATAGTTTAAACGGAATGAATTGGAACTGATAGAGACCACCAGGTGTAGCGAAAGCGTATTTTCGTGGTGCATGGGGGCGATATAGGTTAGCTAATCGCCCTATCGAAGGATAAAATGTGTAAATTCGATAGATGAAAAGTATTGGCACCTTGAATACAATTGAAGGAGTCATGAATCCAAGGCAAAAGATAGACATCTTTATGAGTGACTTTGCCCCAATCGCCATAGGCCACACACACAAAAGCGGCAGCCAACAACCATCGTTTTAACGAGCATGACTTGTAATGCTGAAGAGCTGCAATCTGTGAAGTTCCGTACTACGTCGAAGAATCACGATTCAGAGATATGAAACTTTTTTCGGAGATTTTTTCTGCAAACGTTGACAAAGTTAGCAGCATATTTCCCTTAACAAGAGTACTAATTTTTGCCCCAATCCATGCACATGTATTCTATATTTACACCTGTCTCACGTACTGGCTACTTTTGAAATCAAGGCAAGCCCCTTGACTGCCGCACAACAAAAGCATGACTTGATTATTTCATATGCTCTTATTACACTGCACAATCTAGACTTCAAGTCTTACACTAAAGGCGAACTATAAATCGCTCCACGTAAATATCATAAACAAATCTCAAATGCTACGCTAGCGTGGTGCATAACCCAGAACCAATTACAGCAGATCAAGGCACAATGTGACCGCTAATTATTGGTTATCATAGAAAATTTGATTACTACTGAAATTTTCAGCATTATCATGAAGATTAGCCTAATACCTTTGGCTCAAAATAAGAGGCTGAAATTCCCTGAAAAAAAGAGTCTCTGCACGGAGCATCCCTGGGCTGTAATGTAAATGGGCCGGTTGGTTGGGATCTAAGAAGTAACATTAGTAAAATTTGTAAACTTCACAAGGTTCCTTATGCATCAACCTAAGATGACTGCAAAGCTATTTCTTAAGCCAACTGCAATGATCCTGCACCATCACCCCTGGAGCTCTCAACCCCCAACGTCGACTCGCATTGCCTCCGAGATCCGATGCACTTCGCGTGGTTTTGTTCAGCCTCCGGGATTGGTCCACCTTTCACCAAGCCACGATATTATTTGGTGACGTCTTCGCGTGATGTTACATCACTTTTGCCTCAGATTGATGGCACGAAGTTTGTCTATAAGTGACGTTATGATGTCGCCTTATAGAGAAGTCACTACGTGATAATGAATATATATTTCAGTGGTGTTGATGCAGCCGATGAAGGACGCCCACGCGGGGGTAACCGGTCAAACTTCAAGATTAATGAGGCATATAAGAATTTCGCTTTGATGAACATATTACTGCGTCCAAGGAAAATTCCCCAACAACTGATTGGTAAAAATCAGTTGAATTAAAACAACTGTGCAATGTATTTTTCCCCCAATAAGTGTTTCGAACCTTAGGTACGCACAACTATAGAGCAAAACACTGTTTAGTGAAAAGAAAAGAGGCACAGAAGACATGAAATAGAGTAGCAGATCATTGGAATTGTCGACGCTTCACTTTCTCTTTATGTCTTCCTCCTTTTCACGTAATGATTTTTGAGCCACGGTAAAATGTACATCAGCAAAGTAAGCATCAATTACCCTAAAAAAAGCCTTTGTGGTTTCATATTGTACATTTTAGTCAATGAGAATAAAGTTGGTGCAAAGAAATCAGGTGTCACAAACAGCCTGATGCATTGACGAAATAATGTCGGATGCCTTTTTTTCAGATTAACATACGCTATCGTACCGTATCTAGGCCGAAAATGCGAATTTGGTTGCGTTCGATATACATAACAGAGGTGAGTCTAAACATTTATGCTATTTATGCAGGCGACCAAATAATTGCGGTTACACTAGTAAAGACAAGACCATAATAATTCAGTAATCTTTATACCTTTATTTCAGCATTGGATATATGGATATAATTTTTTGCGTTGTGGTTTTGTTTTAGTGTTATGTCGCTTCTATCTTGCCTACGGCGCTCTCGTGTGTAAAGAAAGAACACGGGGCTTGCAGTGGCCGAATCTTCAATAGGGAAGAAAATAGGACTAGCTGTTTTCATACTGGTACATGTTAAAAAAAATCCAGGTGTCTGAACTATCTGGAGTCCGCCATTACGACATTTATCACTATTTGTTTGACGTCGAACCTGCACGAGTAATAGGTTACAATAACTCCAGCATCATCTGTGCTTAGTGGGGTAACTAATAGGCATGGCAATGCAGCTAGAGATGCACAACTTGGTAAACATTTTGGAGGATGTGAATGAAAATGGCATAACACAGTGGGCAAGTTGAGAGCATGTATTACACCACCCGAGCTTTGATTGTAGTTAAGAGCATGTCTTAACTTAACGCTCGGTAATTGTGGCTAGGTGCGAATTGGCGTGATTGAATCAAAAAAATTGCGCTTATGGTTCACTGCACACAAAGTGCCATCGGATAATACACTGTTTTTTCAGCAATTTGGGCATTCAATAGACATACGTTCGAAACCAACCACGTAACTCTTAAGTTTGGTGGCCCACTACCAAATTTTACTTTGCCTAATAAAATTGAATGGTTGAAAAACACTAGTTACGCAACTAACAAATGTCGTCTAACGCGGCTACCGAATGTGCTCTCTCAGAATGCTGCATGGCTTACCGGAGCCAAAGTGGCTCTGGATTTCTTGAAATAGGTATATTCCTTCGTGTTCAAACGAGTAGAGGCATTTACTATCCTTTAGGTAGTAAACGTCATCCATGGCGCTCAATACTTCTCAGATAAGGGCCAAGATATTTACGTTACGACTGCGGCACTACTCAGTTTTCCTCTGGGTACGTAGTAGCGGTTAGTTAATCAGTTACAGTATGTTGTAAATGGGCCAAGCAGCTTTCGCATGTGCACCATAAAAATGCCCGCTCCACGTGCATCAAGGTTACCTGGTCAAAGTGCTTGGTATAGTATGAGTGTTGCGTTCAGAAGGCTAGCTGATGCATATTGCTTTGTCGTTTACATAAAACGACAGATATTCACAGAGGAGGGTGTAAAAGTGAGATCAGGCAGTGCAGCGTAAATGAAATGCTTTGCTGTTAAAGCCATTCAAAGGAAGTAACAACCGGAGGAAGGTAGAACGGAAGCTCGACGAGTAAATCAGAAGGGAAAATTGAATACCGAGAAACCACAGCCATACTTAAACACATGCAATACGTCCATGGGTGGAAGTATGTCACTGGCTGCTAACAGGTGGCACTGAAACATCACAACGTCCTCCCCTCACCGAAAACTTCATTGGCTAAGATGAGCGTGTCCGTCGATACCACTCAATGCGAACAATATGGTTAGTCAGGGGTATTGTGTGTGCTGTGACTGCTGTTAAACGCGTCTTCGGGTCAGTGCAACGTGCTACACAATGCATTTTGAGCACCAGCCACGGTATTAGCAGCAATATTCTTCTAGTAAAACAAAACAGTTTCAACAAGTTGTTTCTGAAAAATGAGTGATGCAGTCGATAGGAGAGCTTGTGCGCTGCGACTACACGAGCTGCTTTAGCAGCACAAAACTCGATGAGGAAATCTCATAGTGCGCGTCCCCAATAAGAACATATTGCTGCTGTCAACGCAAAATGAGAATGTCACTGCCGTATTTATTACATACTGGTACATCTTTCTGATTGCATACCGACAGAAATTTTCCATGCGGAGTTGCGTGATCCACTAGCATATTATCATGAATTCACCCGCGATTGCAGAAAAATAACACTTTTCGTGGTTCGTGCTAGGAGTGCATTGTTGCAGAAAGTGAACATTGAGTACCCGACATTAAAAGCAGAATTATATATAAACTTTGGCACAAATGATCTGCAGCAAATATCAGTGTAAAACAACACAGTATGAAGTACTCAAACCGGCCAACAAGAATCTTCCTTCATGATCACTAAAATACAGAAGAGCTTCTCATGGTCCTGGTAAGCCTCACAACATAGTTTGACGCAGAAGCAATATAAGATCTGCGCCTTTCTACAGTGGGGGCAAATGACAAAGTCCATGCGAACTCCACTCACATCGTTCATTTTTTATGTATTTGCGGCCGGAACTGAATTTGTCTTGGTGTATTCTGAGAGCTCTCGTCGCGAAAATATGAATACCTGACGTAGAGTGAGAAAACTTTGTCGCAGAGAGCAATCTTTAGGTTACGATAGTTGAACAAAGTACAGACTTTGATGTTGTAAATATAGCCACCATCTGCCTCAATGGGTATTGAGAGACCAGCAGAAGGAGTATATTGCGTCAACAATCTTTGCTTTGCTCAGGGTTGTCATAGCGTTTCGCTTTTTCTGAATGGTTGAGTGAGCCGAGGGAGAACGCCTAATTAATTTTTTTGTGTGTGTGAAGACGTTGAAATCTACATATCTAAAAAATTCATCATCCGTACAACATGATTGTAATGATGGACCAGTGGAGTTGGTATGGTGGTTAGTAGAGGTTTTATTAGCACGAATACACAACTTTGAAGATAAATTTTAGAGTCAAAATTATCCCGTAGTGTAAAAGTTATGATAACCCTAGTAACTTTTTATTTTCTTGTTATTTAAACACATCCCATTTCGATGGCATCAGTTGCATTTATACGCACAAAAATATAAGTGGAAAGACACGTTTCTTGTTGGAATAATGAGTCAATCGTTATATATAGATTGTGAAGGCAATGAAACAATTATTTATTATATAAAATTCTTCGATTGGAAAAAACGCCGGTGTAGAGAATTGATGGGTATCCATGTGATTCACAGTGTGATATTTTTAGAAAATACAAAAAGCGGACTCTCACTTCACCTAATGGTACTAAATACCATTCACTCCATCAAAACTGTGGCCAACAAAGCCAGTAACGTTTGGGTGAACCTGTGTCCCAAGAATGAGTACAGTACTTTTCATTTTACGTTCTTTAACAACTTTTATGTAAGCCTCAAACACTAATTCAATGAACTACTTTCATTTTCAATTTCCTGCTGTGTACAGATCAATGTCGGCTTGCCTTCATATTTATTTTCTGCGTATTTCTGATGCCGAGAGCAAGCGCATAGGAGCCTCGTTAATCTGCTAGCGCAGCCTCTTTTTGCTGTTATCCTTGTACTTTCTTCCCGCAATTTTTTCCAAAGAAACGCCGAATAAATGTTTAATTGAAGTGAAATAAACTGAGAATGCATGTAAATTTAATGAAGTTTCTACCATGGTCAGTACAGGGAAGGCTGCAATTATAGGAGGTCGAGATAGCATAGGCACGGGGAACGATTCTTTCCCAATGGGCCTCGACTGACATCATAGTTGCTGTGTAAATATAACTTGCCGTTGCGATAACAGCGTGTCATAGTTGCGAAATTTTGCTTAAACCTCTATGTAAAAGCAGTTCGCAATATCCACGCAGCGCGTGTGCGTTGCACGTTTTTGTGTTTTTTACGCTTTGCGTGTGGTGATTTTGATGAGTATGTTCGAACTAGCTCAATTTGCTACGCTACTTTAATCCACGCAAGATACACAAGAAAGTGCTACGCTTCGAAGTGAATTTAACGTGCAGTATACTACAAATTGGGTATGGTTGCAATAGCTCTTCTTGCTCGACGTATCAGTGAGAAAATTTAACGGTGCTTGCACCCACAGAAACACAGAGTCAAGGCAGGAAATAATTGGGAATCAAAAAACACAAATGTATTCGGGGCACCCGGTCATGGTCATAGTGAAGAGACTCGCAGTGATGGCACAAAATCAGTCTGAACGTGAACTTTCTGGAAGGCATTGTAGTCGGATGCAAAAATACCAGAATGAAAGAGAGAAAACGAGAGAGAGAAAGTTAGACGGACAGATGAAGACGCCGCGAAACACAAAGCCTGCCCCACTTCTGGTGGCTATGATGCTCATCTGCTGACCAGCAGGTGGCGAGATAGAATCCTGGCTGTGGCGGCTGCATTTTTGATGGAGCCGGAAATCCTGTGGGCCCGTGTGCTCATATTAGGGTGCACGTTAAAGAACCCCAGTTGGGCGAAATTTCCGGAGCCCTCTATGACCGCGTCTATCATAATCATATGGACAATAAACCCCACATATCAAACATCGAAGACCAAGCCCATGGCCATGCTTGTGAAAGTAGAAGTGATTTAAGTTCTTTTTACTGGCACTGTCTTGGCCTTAGCTTTGGGCATACGTGAAATCGGTTTTAAAAACTACTCAGCACCAGTAAAGTCAATGCAGTTTTTGGAATGCTGTGCAATGCTGTGAAATTGCACCTTTAGCCTACTGTATGTTAAGTTGTCTAAATCTTTTCTCCCAGAAAAGCAAAGAGACTTACTTTGCGCACCTATATGGAAATGTTATTGACGGCTTAAAGTCGCTCTACAGCTTAGTCGAATTTGTTGATAAGGAAAAAACTAGGTATGAAAAGTATGACATCATCTTTTTCGTTACTGGGTAAGTACTGCGCTTGCTTGTTATTTGTTTTAAATACGCCACCACGGGTGGGAGAGAACCTTTCAGTAAGGCAACACCTAAGCTCACTCTATTATGTCTTATGGCGAATTTCATTGGGAGAGCAGGAGCACTGAAAAGCAGGCCCAAAGTGCTCTCTTCACAGCCGGCGTGTTTCAGTGGTCGAACAGGTGCAGGAGCACTGTCATCCTTCGGTAGAGCGAGAGTGCTTTTGCTGCGCCGAGAGCAGCCAGGAGCAGTTTGCACTGCTCTCGCCTGAAAAGCGGAGCAGGTGGGGTACCACGAGTCGCGTGGCCCTTGAACGTCACAGTTTCCGAATTTTTCTTCAGCCGGCGAGCGCGGCGCCAATGGTAGCAACCATGTGGAGTTTGACACTGCTGTTTTGTACGGATGACTACGATGACAGCTGGGCGCCTGCCGAATGTGTCGTTGCACAAACAAACTAGGTATCACGATAATGAATAACAGGTGACTGACCGATTTCACGCGTATTTTGCTGCTGTCCCACAAAAAACAGGCCGGGGCATGGAATGTTTCAGTGACGCAGTCTCCCTAATCGTCACCTCCTCACCTGCCCTCCGGGAGCGCGTTTTGTCCCTATACTGACGGGGTCAAAATTAACGTGGTTGAAGCTCTGACTCGTATGGAAGTCTTTTATACAATGAATGTGTGGCAATGAAGTGTTTGTAAGCCATCAGAATGTTCTAATAGCCTGATGTCTTTATGCATATGTATTGCTTTATTTACTAATAAAATTACTATATAAAAAAGACCAAGGTTCAGCAGATAGTGTCCCCGGCATCTGCTATCGTGGACTTAGAGGTTATGCGTTGGACTCTGGGCTGGGTAGATATACACGAAAAATATTTCGAAATACAAATATCCAAATACACGGTTTGGTAGGCTGAAATACATATACTGAGATGCATTTGTAATTGACTTAACGAGATATTTTAGAGATACTTTTCCAAAAATACAAAACAAGTAGTCCGGAATACAGATACAGCAATACAGATACTAAATACGTTTCTCTATGTCGGGGTAGTTATGCACCGTACAGGCACTTGTTGTGTGCAGCGTAATACTTAAAATGCGCATTGCATTGAAAATTGCAATTAACTTTATTGCTTATTTACAGAGACTTTACAAAGGAAGCTCACACTGCACATAACTGTTAATAACGACCTATTCCCGGATATCAGTTCCAGTAAAAAACTATGCTGTATCAGAGCAAGGGTCAGACGCATTGTGCACCGAAAGTAGTACACTTGAGGGAAATAGTTTACCCTATGCTAGAAGTAGCATAGTTCAAGTGAAGTACTGGAACCATAAACAAACAAATTGAGAATCATATGCTTTTATTTACAGCAGTCAGCATTTGTCTCTGACTGAAAAAGAAAGTAAGGCTCCTGAAGTCCTTGCTGCCGCTGTAATGGCAGCGCATGCTTCAACGACGTTCTACTTAGTAGACTAGCGGTTGAGGCTAGTTAGCTTACAGTTTTGCTAAAGTGGCCTAGCGCAAAGCACAATCGGAACCCATCAACAATGAAGACGAGCGCTTAATCCCAGTTGAAGGTTTAGTGTTTTTTAGAAACATAAAAAAAACAGAAAGGAGAACGAACAAAACAAGACCGTGAAAGGAAACACGAAAATTGGCATTATCCCACGTACAGTGGGAATGCATGATGTGCGAAGCACGAATGAGAAAGGTTGATATGTTACTTTAAAAGTAGCACAATGTTACGAGATGGACGTAAATTATGGTTTACATGATGTCTATGTACTGATTATCATGTTTGGACGTGTAGCTTACTTTCGCTGTCTATTCACGTCACGTGATACACAATTTGGTATATGTGAAGCTAGCAAAACAGCCGGAAACGTGCTATGAGCATAGCACGTCGTCATGTTTTACATAACACATAATATGATTATCATGTTTGGACGTGTCGTTTGCTTTCGTCCTCCATTTACGTCACATGATAAAAAATTTGGTATATGTGAAGATAGCGCAACCATCGTGAGCGTACTATGAGCATAGCATGTATTCATGTTTTACATGATACGCATATCATTATTATCATGCTTGGACGAGTTATTTACCTTCGTCATTCATTCACGTCACGTAATATCAAATTTGGTGCCCCGCCGCGGTGGTCTAGTGGCTAAGGTACTCGGCTGCTGACCCGCAGGGCGCGGGTTCGAATCCCGGCTGCGGCGGCTGCATTTCCGATGGAGGCGGAAATGTTGTAGGCCCGTGTGCTCAGATTTGGGTGCACGTTAAAGAACCCCAGGTGGTCTAGATTTCCGGAGCCCTCCACTACGGCGTCTCTCATAATCATATAGTGGTTTTGGGACGTTAAACCCCACATATCAAATCAATATCAAATTTGGTATTTGTGAAGCTATCGAAACGGCCGTGAGCGCATCAGGAGCGTAGCATTCAGTCATGGTTCCATGACAGGCATCTCATGTATATCACGTTTGACTGAACACATACCTTCGTCATGCATTCACATCACGTAATACAAAATTTATTATAAATGCCCCGTCATAGTGGTTTAGTCGCTAAGGTACTTGGCTGCTGACCCGCAGGCTACAGGATCGAATCCCGGCTGGGCGGCTGTATTTTCCATGAAGGCGCAAATGCTGTAGGCTTGTGTGCTCAGATTTAGGCGCATGTTAAACAACTCCAGGTGGTCAGAATTTCCGGAGCCCTCCACTACGGCGTCTCCGATAATCGTTTAGTGGTTTTAGGACGTGAAACTCCGACAAATCAATCAAATCAATCAAGTGTGGTATATGTGAAGCTAGAAAAATGGCCGTGAGCGCATCATGATTGTGGCTTGTAGTCATGTTGTTACACGAAAAGCATGTCATAGTTATCATGTTCGCACTAGTGACATACCTTCGTCTTCCATTAACGTCCAGTAATACCAATTTTGATATACGTGAAGCAAGCGAAATGGCCGCGAGCGCATCATTATAGTGGTATGTATTCCTTGTAGTTCATGACACGCATGTCATAATAATCCTGTTTGAACGTGCATTTACCTTCGTCGTCTGTTCGCGTCCCGTAATGCCAAATTTGGTATATGTGAAGCTAGCGAAATGACTGCAAATGCATCATGAGCCGAGCATGTAGCCCTGCCACAGTGGTCTAGTGGCTAAGGTGCTCGGCTGCCTACCCACAAGTAACGGGATTTTCGATGGAGGCGAAAATGCTGTAGGTCCGTGTGCTCAGATTTGGGTGCTCGTTAAAGAACGTCAGGTAGTCAAAATTTCAAAATTTTCGGAGCCCTGCTCAATGTTGTCTATCACTATCATATGGTAGTTTTGGAACGCCAAACCCCACTTATGAATCAATCATCAATCAGTGTGACAGGTAGTCATGTTTTTACATGACACGCATCTCATGATTATCATGTTTGCAACAGTAATATACCTTCGTCATCCATTCACGTTCCGTAAAACCGAATTTGGTGTATAGGAAGATAGCGAAACTACTGCGCCCCACCATGAGCGTGGCGTGTAGTCATGACTGACATGGCATTCGTCATGATTTTCACGTTAGAGTCTGTGACTTCTGCTCACTCTGCAGTCATGTAATACCATACCAGCCTTGCTTTGGAACATGTAATGTGAATGAAAACACCGCAAAAGCAGCAAGACCATGAAATGTATATCATGATATTCATGACATACATGTCTTCATTTTTATGTTGTGACTTGTTCATTACGCTCGTCATACAATATTGTTACGCCATACAGATTTTGGTATTGATAACATTATCGAAACGGCCAGGAAAGCTAAAAGTTGTAGGTGGCTAGATAGATAGATAGATAGATAGATAGATAGATAGATAGATAGATAGATAGATAAATAGATAGATAGATAGATAGATAGATAGATAGATAGATAGATAGATAGATAGATAGATAGATAGATAGATAGATAGATGATGGATGGATGGATGGATGGATGGATGGATGGATGGATGGATGGATGGATGGATGGATGGATGGATGGATGGATGGATGGATGGATGGATATATGGATAGATGGATATATGGATATATGGATAGATGGATAGATGGATAGATAGATGGATATATGGATAGATGGATGGATAGATGGATATATGGATGGATAGATGGATATATGGATGGATAGATGGATATATGGATGGATAGATGGATAGATGGATAGATGGATAGATGGATAGATGGATAGATGGATAGATGGATAGATGGATAGATAGATAGATGGATAGATAGATACGCTTAAAGTCACTGATGTTCGAAAAGAAATGCTTCGCCTTTAAAAAGCCATTGTTCGAATGTTTGTGTGGCCAGGCTGGCGTCTTCAAGAAATGCTTTGGAAAAAGAAGTATCGTTGATGGCACACAGCACTACACACCATTTCTTTTGGTGGTTTGTGGCTTCCCCGATAAGCTTCGGTTTATGAATTAAGCTCCGCAAAAAAAAAAAAATAAAAGAAAAAAGAAAGCACTGCTCTTTCGATTCGCATGAAGGTACAAATTTCCGAAACCCCACTTTTGGTTGGCGCCTATTGTGTAGTGTACAATGCTTCTCACAATGAAAATATCACTGCTGGAATGCAAAATGGCATTTAAGCGTAGTTGAAAAGCTCAACCAGGTGATCATTCAAATGCATTCCAGTTCTGCCTGAAGTTGCACTAAGGGATGTGGGTAGCAAAGCGACTAATTCGCTTACAAGAAGGTAGGAATCAGTTGCACCCTCAGCACAAATGTCAAAATTGTGTGTACATATCTTGTTGCGGACTCCCAAGGTCACAGCAGAAAAATTGTTTTTTCACGTTGTAAACATGGCTCAGCTCATTCACAGAAGTAGCAAAATGTGATACCCGTGTTCTACATAGTATTGCTATATGGGCGATACATCGTAAAAGTATTTCACTACTGAGATACAAATACATTACTGAAAAGTATCTCAATGCAGCACTACAGATATTTAAAAGTATCTCTGAAATACTATAGCGTTACCCTTGTATCGCGACCTGCCGAGCCCTGGTTCGACTATCTTGATGCAACTTTTTTTTGTCATCTCATTGTGCGAACTATTGTGACGCCATTTCCACGACAGAAATACGTTAACAAATTTTCAACAGGCCCCGGCACAAAACACTTTCGTGTAGAAAATGACAACACAAATATTGTCAATTTCAGGCATGATATGGCAGCAGTGGAAGGTTCTAGAGTCGAAACAGTACTACAAGGTAAGCAATGTAACGTTGTCTGTATTTATGAAGCTTACTTTTTGCGGACAGAAGCAGCAAGCTGCTCCTGGGCCTCCAGTGGCCAGTATAATTACGGTTCAGAAATACCACGTTTTATGTATCTGTACAAAACACGGAGCGGCTACTTGTGTTTAAAGCACGTGACCATAATAAAGAATATCTACACAATAAGCAGGTCTTACTTTATTGCGAAAACAATATACGCTCTCTTATGAATGCGAAGTTTTGTTGTGGTGCTGTTTTCTGTAATTGCTTTGTGTATATACATTTTTCTAAGAAGTATGTTTGGATTCGTAAAGTACACTTCTTTCCTGCCAATTTCTCAACTGTTGACCCCACAGTTTTCAACCAGCTATGCTATGCAGCGCAGTCATTAAATATGCTTTTAGCATTTCCCACAAGTGCGTTTACTGGGCGCTTCTCCACTAAACAGCAATTCTTGCAAATAATGGCGTTGTTGGTAACATGCACGTGTGTCTGCAGTAGTTACCCCAGGAGGGCTTGAAAAAAGGCCCTATAAATGCCGCTGCGCCATCTATCTGGTTGGTTATTCACGCAGACAGGATGACGCTTTGACAAGCAGGAAGTCACGACGTAGTTGCCGGATCGTGCCACGTGATCTGTCCTCCCACCTAGATTGCGCCATGCTCTCTTCGAAGTAAGAGCGGTAGGCAGCGCTCTGACTCGTAATTTGGCGTTCTGAAAATAATAACTGACTATAGACCCTGCACTCGAACACTACAAGGTGAACGTGCGCCAATTTTTCACAGCCCTCAAGAACGCTCGTCTACTACCAACGAAATATGTCATAAGTCCTACTGCGCTTTTTACGTAGAAAGCAAAGTAGAGAGCATTGAAAAGAGATATCGGAAACAAAATGATGCAGGCTATTTCGCTGTGCAAACAAGATGGTGACTGGGCGAACTGCTCGGATCTCAACGTTATGGTCATTCACCCAAAAGTAGACGTTTATTTCCGCCCTGAAAATAAGCTATGTATTTTAACTCTCATTTTTGTACACATTTGAACAAAATAAAAGGTTAAAAGGCAAGAATTCAGCTTTTTTAATTGTCTCTTCTTGATGCAAGGATGCGTTATGACACGCGGACGTGATCCATGCTTCATTCAGATGTCAGTGTATAGATGCCATACAGAGTTTAAACTCACACTTCCAATTTGCGGAATTCTCGTAAATTTCCTTAATTCCCACGCCTTCTTTAACGTATAGTTACCTATTGAAACAGAGGATGCCATAGGGCATCCCCAGGATACGTCATCGCACAGTAAAGCGCACAATTCGCGCATCGAGGTAACATTAGTACCCAGCCCGCCTCCCGAGTCTTTGCGTTTCAAACAATTGTTTTTCTCGAGTAAATGATACACGAAGTTTTGCTTCAAACCGCTCTTTTAGCCCGCGCTTCAAGGCCCGTTTCAACCGGGTCAACGCCGTGCGCACTACTGCTGCTTCACAACTCATCATGGTTCGCCTCAGTCAGATAGTTTACACATTTATTTTCTATTTGATAGCGTTAAGCTACAACGTCAAATCCGTGACGGAAATACGTCACTGAAGACTTAGTGGGTCCCGGCATAAAACATTTTCGTTTTAAAATAGCTTGCCGTTGGGAGTGACCTTCGAACAACGCGTCCGGTGCTCTATACAAACTCATGTACAGTGGCGGTCATGCCTCTATTCACTTCATTTAGTATATATGAATATGTCTTACTATAGCTGCCCCAGTGTTTTAGTGGCGAAGGCATTCGGCAGCTGAGCCGCCGGTGGAAAGATCAAATCTCAGTTTTAATACTTATCAGTTTTGTTATTTGAATTGAATTCATCTAACTCATATAGACATTAAACGTGAGAAGGTATGCTGGAACAGCCATAGTCAACTTTTATTTCACAAACTGAGGTCATGAAGTGAAAATAGCTCCCTATACACACATTTATTGAAAAGTACAATGACGACAATGTTTTTTGGGCTTAAAGAAAGCACCGAAATGCACCCAGTTTTCTGCTCGGTGGTTGTTCTGACATAGAAAAAGAATTACATGTTTCTTGTCACCACTTTTATTACTAATGCACTGCTGAGAGATGAGGTCGTGCGACGATCATAAACATGGTGCCGAATTTCCTAATGTAGCTCAGTGCCTATAAGTACCAGCATTGCAGTAGCAAGGAAGTGGCCTCCCCTCTCTCTTACGGTAGCTTTTTACGCTCTAGAATGCCGAGAGAAAATGAAAATTTCAAGGAGGTGACTCCTACCTCTCCGAGAAAAATTAAGCCATCTCTCCGGGATATCACGTACGGGTTATTTTATGTAGCCGAGCTGTCAATATACCTGATTTCTTATACGGCACATTGAGGACAACACCCGTTACTGAATTAATAATTGCATGCTTTAGCATACTTTATCATAAGTAATGTTGTAAAAAGAATGACATACCTACGTAAACATTTTATACGTAATTTATAGGAAGCTATGTTGTTTTCAATGTTACAATAGGCTTCGCATTTGTTGGATCAGTGTGCTTGAAAACAAGAGTTGGCCTCGGTGAAGATAGAGCCAATACATTTACTGGAATCAGAATAATGGCTCACGAACTAGCACACACGTAAGTAGTGATAGCTAAATCGTGATTTCTTGATAGCTTTTAAAGAGTATCAAAATTAGTGTTATTTTATTTGTAAAATTCTGTACCGCAGCGGTCTCAAGCACACATCGCTTACTGGGCCACCATCATAAATTTCACTGTGGCAAAGCACTGGTAGCGTCAAGAAGGGTGTGAGAAAGGGAAAGGTGTTTGAGTTAGATGCTAGTACAAAAAAAATTTTGTGAACTTTGCCGTGTTAAAGGGGGCTTTTCGAATATGATATATGGTTAATTTTTCTAGGACATGTAGTGTCAGGGCTACTAAAAATATTGATACCAATATCTACAATAACTCAAATCGGGACACCCGTCTTGAAGTGCCGAGTTTTCATTCGGATGTTATATTTCCTTAGTAATGACGCCATAGTCTGCCTAACTAAAACTGCTTTTGACCTGTCATGTTTGCGTAGCTTACCTGGAATGCATTACCAGAACAAAGCACAGGCGAGGAAAAAATGCGAGGACGATTTAGCATTGTCACAAACACTCACAAACTTCTAAAAAATAGGAACAAATGTGCATTTGTGGGCCGTGGGCCGCGGAACGCTAGGGAAGGGCTGGCAGGATGCATGTGATACAAGGTCCCAAGGTTTTCGACCCCTTCTTCAAGGATTATTTAGGCTTGAGATGTTTGAGGCTGTAAAACTTTCTAAATATTGCTTTAGTGTAAGTTGACTTGGACAAATTACCTGGAATATATTATAGCACAATCGAAAACACGATATGGACTTTATTGCAAATCACAATTTATATAGAACGTTGCTAGCCTAATAAGCAACACCTGAACATTCTTTATTTGGGGTTCACAATTTCTATTAACTGGCTATAGATATAACAGTTTCGTTTCTCTGGTCTTCCAGCTCCCATTTATGTTGTTTTTATGGTAACACAATAAAAAATACGTGGTTACATCTGCATGTGTTTTGTCTGATAAGTTGCAAGGCCGACATCGCCGATGATGTTTGCAAACTTCGTGAATCAGTTAGGGGCATCAATTTGTAATCAGCTTTGGTATACAGTGAATTACCGGAGTTTGAAACAAAATCTTCATACGGATATTAGCCTGTGAAAGAGTACATTCATTCCAGAGGCGAGAGTACAATTTCCGGCCAATGTCAAGACATTTTTTCTTGCAATAAGAAGGCTCATATGCACTGTAATACACGGCTATAGATGTTTCCATACCATCTCTGTAGTTTTGCAGTAATGGTAGCTAGTTTCATTATCAGTGTAGGCTTCTTTGTTATGTGACTGCAGCTGATCACGTTTCTGTAAATACTTGTCTACAAGTTATGATCCCATTGTATAAATACCGCAGACGAAACTCACAGTTAACGAAGAAAACATTCACCATATGACAATGCAACTCAATCTTTCCCGTTTGTATATTTAGTTTTCAAGCATCGATCACATCGTGCTGTAAGGTAACGCTGCTTCTGAATATTTTAAAGTTAATCTCAGCAAATCATTCTGTGAGACACAATTTAGGATGACACATTGTATCTCCCGTACACGTTAGTGAATTCATTGCATGAGTGAAGAATCTAGGCGCAATATTGTCAGAAAAATGAAGTAGAAAGCCACCTGAAAAAAAGAAGACGCACACTTCTTTTTATTTTGAATATTTTAAAAAATTCTCAATTTAGCCACCTCGAGCACCTTTTGTATGTTTGAGCATGGTAAATCTATAATAGAAAGCATTAGGTAACGGAGCGTTTCATTACTATAGCTTTATAGGCTGGGTGGAAAAAATACAGCTGCGTTAAATGGGCTGGGTTATGAAATAAAATATCTGCTTGTCAAGTAACGCGTATAGAAATTATCTCATTATGTTTTTTCATCGCAGTTTGGGATGCTCACATGATGGAACAGCTGTAGATGCCCACATAACGGGCATCAAGTCGGACTCAGTTCGGTGCCCCTGGGAGCAAGGATACTTGATGAGTTATATTGAAGAAAACTCCAACAGCATGAAGTTTTCCTCATGCTGCGATTATTCGATGTCGCTGGTGGCATGGTAGGTGCAACTTGAGAATTATTTATTTTGCATCACGACAAATCATTTCAGTCGTATTCTGTGCACTTTCCATTGCTCAAATGTTGCGATGTTGGAAGAAATATTCATTGGTGAGTCAACCAGCTCGCATTTTAAAGAGCACGCGATAGCGTATAACTTTGTCCTTTAACCATAGCGGACCTCCTGGCCTTTACTGGGCACTAAAGTGCAACAATGAATTGGTTCACATAAAGTAAAGTGATTTCTCCCCTCTTTATGAACACAAACATGTTTAATTTCCCTACTATATGTTTCTTTGGGAGAGAAGAAAATCAAGGTCCAAATTCACTCTTGTTAATGTCACTAAAACCTCTGTTCTGGATTTCAAGGATTCAAAATAACTTTCTTTTATCTTGGCGATTTCGGTTCGTTGACATTTCATGAAATTTTACGTTTTTGTACCAGGCACAGGAGGACGTGTATGATTGTAGCAGATTAAGAACTACATATCACCTAGTAGATGGCGTCTAAAGTCATGACGTTACGACATGTGGTGCGGGAATTTCGAGAAGGCGTCAACATCCATACTGTCCTTGGTGCATTTTCTCACTTACCGAGTGTCTTCTCACAGCAAGACACAATTTACCCCAAATTCCGCAGTGTCCCACGATAGTGCGGAGCACTATGAGAAGTGTGTGTATAGTGGGCGAGTCGGCTTTACCGCCGTTTGCTCTTTGTTGGCGCCATGTAAGCGCTGGCAGCATGAAACCAAATGACCACGTTGCCGTTTCTTGGCTAATATAAACCGTATATACTGTACGCATGCGAACAAATCTGCATGTATCTCTGCACAGGGAATGAGAAAGGAATAACGGACTGCCGTGTACGTATCGCACTACCCTGTGTAGGAACTGCTGTGTAACCAGTATTGCGAGAAATAAGAACAAGTTCAACAAATAAAAAGTTATGAACCATCTCGCTGAATGGAACCATCATGAGATGCGAAGCAGCACGGTTGCGCACGCCGTTGACCCGGTTGAATCGGGCGTCAACGTGGATGCTGGAAGACTGATTTGAAGCGAAGCTCGGTGTGGCTTATACTCGACGAAACAATTTTTCGAAACACAAAGACAGCCCCACCGTGGTGTTCTATTGGCTAATGTACTCGGCTGCTGACCCACAGGTTGTGGCATCAAATCCCGGCTGCGGCGGCTGCATTTTCTATGGAGGCAAAAATGCTGTAAGCCCATGTGCTCAGATTTTGGTGCACGTTAAAGAGCCCCAGGTGGTCATAAATTTCCGGAGACATCCATTAAGGCATCTCTTATAATCATTTGGTGGTTTTCGGACTTTAAACCCCAAATTTCAACCAAACATAAAGACATGGGAGGTGGGTGGAATTTCGCGTAAGTTTTTTCGCAGATAAATGAGCTGAAAGAGTGTTTCCACTCGGCGTGCGCTCGAGTATTGCAGGCGGTGGAGAAGGTGAAGTCAAAGAAGTGTTTTGCGAGCAGGCGGAGAAGCAACACCACCTACGTGTGTTGGGAGGAGCCGGCGGCTGCTGCCGGTGTGGAAAAAATTCACGTCTACGCGCTCCTGTGACTTTACCCACACAATTTCTTCTTTCTTGTGTTCCTCTGTAAACGTTGTGCTCTTCCTTCCAAGATCAATTTATACCAATTGACCTGATAATATTGTTTATGGACCCTACTTTGCATCGTTCCAATCACTGCGGCGGGGCAACGAGGTGTGGCGCTTTGGAACGGAGGCACGGATGTACTGCGTTACACAGGCTAGTCAAAGAGCTGATTCGCATATAAAAAATTAGCACGGACATAGTGGAATTCGAAGCTGTGTCCGTTGCTTGCCAGCCCAGTATTCTACCGCTCAGTCATGCCACTGCTTGGAACTTGTTTCCAAAGAGACTTTAGGCAGGCTTGATTTCATAAAAAGAATCACTTCAATATGAGTAAAAAATTCTTTTAGAACATAAAAAGAAGAACGAAGCGTCAGATAACGTGAGTTGCATAACAAGTGAGTCGTCCAATGCTCCAACCCCATTACAAGAGTTTGTTATTGATCACCTAATAACTGTGGGGCATGCCCACTTCAGGCATAACTTTTCATCGTCATCAGCCACTGCAAAAAAATGCGCAAAGTTTCTAGCAAGTGCGTGGTGATTACTACGCTTATGCGAAGAATGACGATGAATAGCATAGTGAATGCCGACCTACTACACAATGATTATGGTTATTTCTGGCGTAACGGGGACATACCCAGCAAGTGTGATTGTACCAGTTACCCAAAGAGTGTTTAGAAAAGCCTCCGAAAGGCTGCTCTTCCAGGTTTCGCTGTGACTGTGCTGCGCGGTTCGCACAGGCCTGGCGTTTTTTTTTTTACAGCGACAGTTTTTATGAGATCACAACAGTGGTCGCGTGTGCAGTATTTGTCCGCCGTGGCTGCCACCGCCGCCAACGGTGTCCTACACGTGACTCCTACATTAGAGTCTGCGCCATGATGTACAGAGGTTGGCAAATACTCCATTCTTTCATGTGCTCTTTAAGGCTTAAATACCTGTAACGCTGAAGACAACCTCTGTACCTGACAATCTCAAGACAATCTGAAGACAACCTGAAGCTGAAGACAATCTCTTGCTCTTTAGCATTTCTTTTTACTTCAAGCCTACTCTAAAGTTTTCATAAGTATTATAAGACTATATATGGGTATACTGCAGCTGGAAGATAGCTTAAGATTTTTGTCTTATATTCGAGAAAAACAACGTGAAATATCATTTGGGTCTATCTATTGCGAATTATTGAAGTTGGTCGCTATCACTGCTGCTTAGTAGTGTACGATAAAAGAGCTTCAAGTGTGAGGCAGCTACGTTATTTTTTCATTTTGTGTGTTGTCGTGAATGATTGGCAGTGCCAATAGCGATGAAGTCATAACAACTATCTCACTGTCAAGGCTTCATCTACGGCCATCTGTCAACCATGCCACAGCGTAGTTTACAGCAGGCGAATCAATCACTTGTACAGAAACATGTCACCGAAGAATGTTTTGCTTTCAAACGTCTTCTCCTTTTAGGGGCAAAGCTCCTTAGAGCGTGGGCTGTGCGTCCCCTGTATGTAGCCACCTCTAGTTTAGTTCTTGCAGTGTTCACTAGATGGCGGTACCGTCCTCTGTATGTAGCCACCTCTAGTTTAGTTCTTGCAGTGTTCACTAGATGGCGGTACCGTCTCCTGTATGTAGCCACCTCTCGTTTAGTTCTTGTAGTGTTTACTAGATGCTGGTACTTGTAGCTGATGATGAAAAGATGCAAGATGTTATAAACTAGAAAGCGGTACTTGTAGTTGATGAAAGACGCGAGATCTTATAAAATAGGAATGATGTCACATATGGCGCGTGTCATTGGTTGAAGGCAATTGTTCGATTTAGTGCGGCGACGTACGCTAGGGGGAGCGATGTAATAAAATCGAGTGGGCAAAATGTACAGAGGATTCATGGTTTACCAGGTTTACCTCCGGAGCTTCGCCCACTCATCATCATTCACTTCGTGGATATGGTGGCACTTTTTCTGTTATATAAAACACTGTGGCTACAACATTTTACAATAATAGACAAAAACACACATTTTAACTTTAATTATATATTCGTAGTATTAAATGAAACAAAGCGCCTTGCAATGATAGTGGGTGCCACACTTAAGTTTGGTTGAAACTGGGGTAGTATCAGGAGTAGAGGGGGACATAAATAGAACTTTTTACTTAATTTTGGCCATGTGCACAGTTTTAACCTCTGAAAACTACTCAGATATTATGTTACATAGACTGACATTACTTTAAAGTAGTTGAAAAGAATTCATCAAAATAGTTGTGCAGACATGGCATTATTGTCTTGTACCCCTACCTTCTTACCCCCGTTCATTCCTGATTATTACTTGTGTATCGTGCCAGCAGGGCAGGATACTCAGCAGACAAAGGCTGTTGCCGGGACGCTGTTCAATTTATTCTTGAAGAACCGTGTTGTCCATTACTGAAGTTCATGACGGACTATCGTGTGGAAACTTCATTAAAAGTGATATTTATTGTTGTGCCTGGTAAATTTCAGGTCTACAAAGATTAACTGTTTGCATAACATATCCACGAAAAATCATATTGAAAAAAAGTACAACACATCGAGAATTCCAGGAGATATTCTAGGTCGAAATAAGCAATGTAGAATGACATATCCCACTCTTAAAACGACATACTTCATAGAGGTATGTGCATTCTGCTTTTTCTTGTAGCAGTGCAGCTAATCTATACGCCATTTTTATCTATAGGTGTTTTAAGTAAACTGCGGGCTGCTTTTTATCGTATATTTGATGTCTTGATGGCAGGCAGTTACTACTGTGTAAGCCTAATCAACGAGCCGATCATGCTGCCCCTTCACCCCATGCAGAAGACCACAATCTATCAATACATCTTTCTGGGACCGACGCTGCTAGAAAGCCCCTTAGCCTCACTCGCCAATGCTCCTTGTCACATTGGAATTAGTCTTATTTTACACGTTCAAGATTACGCTCCCTTGATCCAACTTTAGGCTTACGATTTCCAAAAATAATTCAAAAAATGACGCTACTATTTTGAGAAGACTATGATTGGGTGTCGCACTTACCCGTGTGTACGCGTTTCGCATAGCGATGGCCGACCCAGCCACCTTCATTCACTGCGGAGATGAGACAATTTGACAGGTGCTGTGCGACTGTTATGAATACAGTATAATGAGAAAATCACTTTCAAATACCGACAGCAAGTTCGATGACCAACCTGTGTCAGAGAAAAGTATACTACGCCATCTTCCAGATTATTCTTTGCAGAAGACGGCCATGCGTACTAGTGGCCTGTCTGAACGAACCTGAGTGCATTGAAATCGTGTCTGTGTCCGTGTTTATATATATATATATATATATATGTGTGTGTGTGTGTGTGTGTGTGTGTGTGTGTGTGTGTGTTTTAGACCAGTTCTGCACGCCAGTAATGAGACTGCGACAATATTTACGTGAATTAGGCACGTGGAGCGTGGGGCAGTCTGACGCGTTGCCAAGGAGTGGTCAGAGCACATGCACATAACCAGGAATACTATGCGTCGGTAGCATGACTTGCTAATAATTACCTGTGTACCAAGCTTGATACTCGGCTCATTTAGCATCAATTAAAGGAGGAAACATGAGAAGAAGCTATAGCAAATTTTCGATGTGTTCTATACTGTAGGTTGCTTCTTTTTGGTACTTCCGTGTGAATCACTGTATAGATTCAGCGAGAATGTTGCATTGTCGAAATCGCGCAGTAATATTTCTTAACAAAAGATAATTATGTGGCACTAGTGAAAAAGACTGCTGAAATAATTTATTATATATTCATAGCTCATTAGAGGAAAGGGAGGCGCCAGGTTTCTATATTATGACCGCGTTATCTTTCGTTATTGTATGTTGCAGAAATTTGGAATTGTGAACTGCATCGCACAGTGTTTTGTACGAGGAGCGGAGTTCCAAGCGTCAGATTCTCACTGGCCGATGATTATCATCGATGGTACACCGTGCAACAAAGACAAGACATATGTAAGCTCAAGACATTGATGCCTCTAAAGTCTGCATTAAAACCAGAATTAAAGAGGAAGCATATATTAGCAAACCACACGTGGTTTGACTATTGATATCTATCTATCTATCTATCTATCTATCTATCTATCTATCTATCTATCTATCTATCTATCTATCTATCTATCTATCTATCTATCTATCTATCTATCTGTCTGTCTGTCTGTCTGTCTGTCTGTCTGTCTGTCTGTCTGTCTGTCTGTCTGTCTGTCTGTCTGTCTGTCTGTCATAGTCTGTCTGTCTGTCAATACGTCTATCTGTCTGTCTGTCAATACGTCTATCTGTCTGTCTATCAATACGTCTATCTGTCTGTCTATCAATACGTCTATCTGTCTGTCTATCAATACGTCTATCTGTCTGTCTATCAATACGTCTATCTATCTATCTATCTATCTATTTATCTATCTATCTATCTATCTATCTATCTATCTATCTATCTATCTATCTATCTGTCTGTCTGTCTGTCTGTCTGTCTGTCTGTCTGTCTGTCTGTCTGTCTGTCTGTCTGTGTCCAGCAAAATGAACTCTACTAGCTGTCACAACACTGTTGATGGTATTTCAAATCGCCATCATTTTAATCTGGTGGAAAATGTGAAGTAACTTCTTTTTTTAAAGAAGGATAACATTTCAAAGGCACAGAAGAGTGCTTTTATTTTGAATGAGTGCACTGCCGAATAGATCCGCAGTGTTTACGACCTGCAGTTTCACTAATTTGTTCTAAAGTGAAACGAAAGTAGTGTCGTTTCTTGTTTCGCAAAATTTCCACAGCACACTCGAAGTGAAAAGGCCTGCACAGGCGACAACTTTTGGAAATTCTAAAGTGGAATCGTATCGTGCATGGCTTGGTGGGTTCTAAACCACTGAGAAAGACCCACGTTCAAGCGCATCTACGATGATATTTATTGTGACGCAGTCGCTGTGTGGCAGCTTGGGCTAGTTGGTATGACATGTCAATAGATATAGCGCAAGAAAAGCCACTGTGCCATTTAGTGTTGGAACGAAGCCGTGTTGGTATTCAACTGGCGTTCTCAGAATTCAATATTCGGACATTCATAGTTTTTACTTCTGCTGAAAGGATCGCGAGCAGGAAAAAAGATTTGCAATAACCAACACAGTGACAGAAGAACTGCTTTGTCTTGTGTCTTCCTGATTGCAAAGAAATACATGAACACATCTTCTTGACCACAGTTTATAAATTGATGCTAAGGAAGTTTCTGCAATGTATTTCTAAATTCCAAAATATTTTGGCATGTTCTAGTGTATTCGTCCTCGTTCAGAAAAATCAGTATGGGGGCTTGTTGAGATTAGAGCATAAATATCAATATTTAGGTTGATGTAATTAATTCTTTCTTTACCCCACGTTGTTGAATTATTGCGTAGTAATTGAGGATTGTAAATATTTCTCTGACAATACTTCAAGTCGCCTTTACGCTGATTATTGATTATAAATAAACTTTCTTTTCCAGATATGCCTAAATGGAGACTGCATGCCTAAAGAAAGACGATGGCGTTATCAGTCTTGGGCAGAATAAATGCATATGCAGAGGAAAACTCCCTTTGTGACTTACTCCAGGAATAGCATTAGCATGGGTGGCCCCAGAGTATTTTCATGAGGGAAAAGTGGTATCTATGATAAGGGAGTTCCACTAAGTAGGAAAGGAGGCGGGGGGGCGGAATGAGTGGCTGGGAACATGCTCGTTTTGTTTTGACTATGCTTGTTTTGGTGAGGCAAAGGGAGCCAGATGAAAATTTTGAGTGAGCTCCAAAACCCCTCTGCCACCTTACCCTCGCTGGCGCTACTCCTGCACATTAGCGTAGTACTGAAATTGAAACAAAAATGGTGCTACCTAGCCACTTCAAAAAATCAATGATCTCTTTAATCAAGGTTAGTCATTGATAGAAATATCACTATGCTAGAGAAGTATATACACAATTAGGTGCGTTTTTTAATAAATGTGTTCAAACATGTGGTTAACGTCTGTGCAAGGCTGCTTCTATTTTTCTTCGTTAATTGCTTAATGAAGGTGTTTTTGCCTGTAGAATAGAACTAAACAAATGATTGTAAACATTCGACAGAAGTCTGACTGGTTGGTATGAAACTGAGAGATGATTTAAATTCCAACCAAAAGTTTTGAAGAAACCCGACGGTTCGAAACCAACTTGGTTTCTTCCTCAGGGGTGACTACGGGGCAACGTAGCAGTGGCGTCTTCAAAGCACTTGCGGGGCGGATAATGACCGTGCTCTCTCTCTCTCTCTCTCGTTTTGCCGAGCAGCACAGTCCATCTGTATACACTGGGGGAAGAGTACCGAGAGAGCAGTTGATATTATGGGCTGTCCTCTGTATGTGTCTTGATTCGAAAAATAAACTTTTCCTCCAGTTCAGCTCGCTTTCAAAGATGGCCGTCGCTTCGAAATTTATACGGTGATCCAACGTCCCAGCATGTTCGGCGACTGCGCTGCGCTCTTTATAGAGCTTCCGCACATCGTTGGCCCGTTGCTTCAGTCGTTCCGGTGAATTTTTAGTCTCACCGATATACAAAGAGGGTCACTCGGCGCACGGAATTTCGTAAACGACACCGGGGGTGCTGTTCATTGTTGGCCGGTCTTTCGGGCGAGGGAGGAGGTGACCCAGCGTACAAGAAGGCATGGGCGAGATGCGAACCACTTCCTTCTTGAAGATCCGCGCCAACATCTTGCTGGCTCCCTGAACGTATGGGACCGGTACGCGTTTCGGAGGGCTGTCAATTAAGGTTGCTTGGCGTTTTCGTTTCCTCTGTTGCTCTGCGCGGTAGGTGGCGGCTGAAATGAAGTTTTTTTTTGGGGGGGGTATACGTTTTTTCTGATGTCCGCATTTACGCGGGCCTCTTCTTTTTTTCGCTCCGTGTCATTGGAGCATAAGCTCACGGATCTCTAGAGTAGCGTGCTCACAACCGAGGCCTTGTGGCAGGTGGGGTGGGAAGAATGAATGAAATTGAAGGTAGGGGCTAGTGTTCATCAACTTCCTGTGAACGGAGAAATCAAGGCTGTTGCGCTTTCTTGCCACCTGGACGTCGAGAATGGGCGGGCAGTGGTCGCTTTCACACTCGTTTTTGATATGTATGGCGGGGCTTACGGAATTTATGTGCTGTCTGAAGTTTTCAACTTCAGACGTCTATGACACGAAAACAGTCATCCCTATAATAGAGAAAAGGCCTGGGTCGTGGCGAGAAGGAACTGAGTGCTTTCTCTTCTATGTACCCCATGGTCAAGTTTGCCATCGTGACGAAGATGGAAGTTCCCATCGTGGTTTCACTGTTCTGCCTGAAAATAGTTCCTTTTTAGGAGAAATACGTTCTGGACAGGCAGAACTCCAGCAGACAGCAGAGCTCCTCAACCACCAAAGGAGTCCTTTGACGGTTGACAGGCAGAACTTCAGTAGACGGCAAAGCTAATGCTGTCTGAAGTTGAAAACTTTAGACAGCACCTAAGTTCTGTGCAAAAACCTACTGGAACGACTGAAGCAACACGCCAACGATGTGCGGAAGCTCTACAAAGAGCGCGGCGCAGTCGTGGAACATACTGAGACGCTGGATCACCAGATAAGTTTCGAAGCGATGGCCATCCTTGAAAGCGAGCCGAACTGAACGAGAGGGTTATTACTTGAGTCGTGGCACAAGCAGAGAAGAGCCCTTAACATCAACCACTCTCTCGGAACCGTTTCTTGAGTGCATACTCATGGACTGCGTTTCGCAGCAAAACGAGAGAGAGATAGGGGAGGTCATGATAGAGAAGGTCACCCCTAAGGATGGAACCAAGTCGCTTTTAAAACATCGGGTTTCTTCAAAACTTTTGGTTGGAGTCTAAATACTCTCCCAATTAACAAATGGTTTAATGTCTAGGACAGATAAATTGCACTTTCATGTCAGTTATGATTTGTTTGCTGCACAGCGTGCGCGAGTTCTTCTCTAGTGCCCACACTTCGTTGTCGTCTTTCGCTATATATATTTTACACACTACGAGCCCTGAAGTACAATCGTTGAATGTGCGGACAACTTCTCCTGAACGGCTGACAAATGCACAATAAAAACACTAGGCACACTGCAATAAAGCCCTTATTCACATTCTCATAGCACCACAATTGCCAGCCTGGGGAAATACACTTTTGCAATTTAGGATCACCTGTGATGATGAACACCATCTCATTAACGAGGTGTTCCTGGTGCAGTAACCGGCTTTGTTCGAAACCGACCACATGTTAAAGATTTTACAATTTCGCAATTAACAGTGTGTTTGGCCTTCAACACCCAAAACAAGCACAACTTGTATCTGATGTTGCACCAACATTACTACGAGGCAGTTCTAGGTGAGCTGGCACGCGATTAGTTGAGTTCGGCCGTGTCACCTGGGTTATCTTGTCACGCCTGAAATCAGCGTCCTTATTACATGTCAGCGTCTTTAAAGTAGGTTTCTCGTCGATGATATGGTCCTTGTCCTTTAAAGGACACTTTCTGCTGCGTTCATCAATTATATACTCTCAATCGGCTTGTGTCGCATTAACTCTGGCTTTGTGGGAATGTGTTGTGCTACAATCTGAAGTCGTTGCACAGCAACTGGTCGCTTATCTGCCAAAGTCAAGCTCAGAGACGGCAATTCGAGTGCGACTTTCTATCGTGGGACCTTGTGTTGTATTTCCTCGTTGAATTCTTAGAGTTTGTCATTATTAAAATGGGCATCTGTAACTGTAATAGGCAAGGTATGTTGTCAATATATAAGAATTTTTGCAGCGCGAATGACATGTTTGTAAACGCTGCTCATAAGGTTCACAGATGTCTCTAACAATGTATTTAACAACACTTGCATAATTCTTTTCTTCGCATGATAATGTACCTTGGTTCGTCCTTCCTAAGTTCGTGTTAAACCCAGTTAGGCTTCGATTCTTCTCATGTGGACTAACTTGATTCAGCACAAATTGTCACATCTTGTCTACTCCTATAAGCCAGGTTATGCACGTTTGTGCTAATTCAGGAACTTCAATATTTCAACAATAAACGTCTGGTCATTTACATGCTTCCGCTGAAACGTATTCGTTGGTCGAAGTTACATCAGCTGCTTAAACATAAATTGATTTTAGGCTTCTATATAATGTTGGGAATAATCAAATTAATTCATTACAATTGCTTTGACAATGCTCAGTCGTCTTTCCAGTGCTCTGTTAGCTCATGCGAACGTCATTTCATACCTTTCAATGGTGTGCACTGTGGTAGGCTTAGTTTCTTAGAGATGTCTTTTCTAATGAATGTTCGTAGGCTTCCATTGTCAAGTAAACCTCTGAAAATGTATGTCTGAAAATCCTGTATAAACCATGTCTAAAATGCCTTTAGCAGGCGAACGTTTCTTATTATTGTGACTATGACTTTTAAGATGTCAAATGCAAGCTCCTCACTTCTGGCTTGAAAACAACAGTCGCGTGTTTACGTTTACGCTTTTGCAAGCTTACATGACGATGGTGATTTCAAGTGGAATGCCCTTTGACTTTGCATTTGAAGCATCTGTGCAATCCGAATACAATGTTTTAGGTGAGTCAGGTTCAAGGACAGCACGCCTCAAGGAGTTTTAGTAAAGCTTCTTACCACTGCTGTTTCTTTCTAAAGCTTCTTACCACTGCAAAAACGAGATTCTCGTGCTACGCGCCATCACTCGTGTTCTCTATGCTAGTGCACGCTACTTTACCTTTATTCTCTTTAACAGCATCTACTGGCCTTCGCTAGGCAAATTTTTGTCCCTTGAAAACTGAAGTCAGGACTACATTACTATCATATGAGCTGAAGAAAGGCAAACAGAGGCAGTGTCTGTTTCATTCCTTGCATGATTGATCAAAGCAAACGCAATGCCTTGTTGGTAAATTTGGCCACCACAACCGTATGCGTCCAGAAATGTACTTATCTCAAGGACCTCCACATCCATGCGGACGTAATTGAACAGCTCCTGCAGTTGTGCCTCTACTGATGATACTTTCTCAACATTTGTCTTCCATCTTTGTTGGTAGAACTATTTCACTAAAATATTGCATAGTATTGATTTTCTCGGGACCTTGATGAGCACGGGGTCATTCATAGGAGCGCTCCGAGAAAGTCAGTTCCTAGTGTTGTTGAGGATGGTGTACAACATCTAGCTCAACAAAGCGACGTTAATAGATTGCTCTACTGGTTGAGCGTTCGCTGGTTTGCCAAGTATTACTGCTCAATGTTGTTGTTTCCGCACTGATTTTTAAAGCGGGAACGTCACCTGCGTATCACCTGTTCGCTGCTTGAATGTTATCAATGGCCTTTGTAGCCTGTCTTATGAGTAAGGTATTCAAATGGTGGAAACATTCGGCGCTTGTCAGACTCGGGTTTACAATTATGGACGGCGTGTTTAAACATTCCCAAGAAAGGTTGCCACTGCGTTTCCATTGAAGCGAAGCACCCCAGGTTTAAGAAGACGAGAGCCGACAAGCAAGTGTCCCACCTGAATACGAAGGGCAGAACTTCCCGCTGTGGCAATACCTTCGTTCTCTACATCGTTAGTAGT